CAAAAAAAAACACTGCTCTCCTGATGGACTGTGATGTTAAACTCTGCAGTTAACCAAGAGAAGGAAGGGGGGGGAAGAAGGCGAAAACCCATACTTAGTTACATTTTTCGCGTACCAACTGCCAGAGATTTATTTGAATATCTTCTACCACGTATACTTCTGTCCATTCCCCCCCCATCGTCACTCCTAACCAAGTTTATCGCCGCTATCTTTTTCTTTTTCTTTTCGTTCTCCCTACTTAGTTCGGGGTGTATATATTTTTTTCTTCCCCCCCCCCTTGGGTCCAAGACGCCAATATAGCTTCCAAGTAATACCAAGTGCGTCTAATGCTCTTCGCTGACGTCATAGCTCTCTCTATCTCTCTCTATCTCGTATTCTCGCTTCGCTATCTTTTTCTATGGATTATATCTGGCCATGTCTACTTGGTACATTACATACGTAGTACTACGCCCAGACCCTGACTCCGACTCCGACTCTGACGCTGACTTTTTCTCGGCCGAACTCTCCGGCGCCCGAGGCGAGAGGTAACCGTATCCGTTCGGTATGGCCGTGATACTCGGTAAAGTGCGCAAGTAAGTAAGGGTAAGTAAGTGGCAGTGGCAGTGATAATTGCGAGTATGTGTAGAGTAAAAGGTACAAGGTGAAAAGTGAAAGGTGAAAGTAAATCAACTTGCCCTACCTTCCTTCTCATACTTAGTTAGCCTCGGCCATTTTGCCAATTTTCTCTCCTTCTCTCCGTCTTGGCTTATACATCCCCCATCTATCCATCCATCCATTCATCCATGTTCATACCGCCTTTTCTTCTCTCCTGCCCTCACCTCACTACACTACACTACACTACACTACACTACACTACACTACACTACACTACACTACACTTCACCCACCCCTGTCCTCTCCCCTCCCCATCCCGCACCCATCGGCATAACTACGCCCCCATAAGCCCGCTCAACCAAGCGCCTAGCCACGCCCCCAAGCCCCCAAGAACCACTGCCAAAAAGCTTGTATCCAGACGTGACAGTCGGTAGATGTGCTGAGGTGCTTGTTCCGCGGACATCCTATTCGCGGGCGGCCCGCAGATAAGCTTTTGGGCGCCGAGCGACAAGACGTGCGCCTGTTTTCTATGGTTGCCTGTTACGGAAGGTTGGGTGAAGTGCTGGCGCGCTGTTTCACCCGTGTTTTGCTGGGGGGGTTCGCCGTGTTTGTTGGGTCTTGCGGGTGAGGGGATACGGCATGTGTGTATGGATATGCATGTGTGGGAGATGAAGACGGATAGATAGAAAAATATAGAGAGGGGGAGAAGACAGAGAGTCTACGTGTGAAACGCTCATTTCTCACCTGCATCAAATGTAGAGGGAGATATACTTAGAGTCGCGATATTTTCCATTCACATATCACTACTTACTTACTTACTTACTACCACTATGCTACATGTCTACAGTCACACCTCCAACCGCACCCCCCCTTTTTTTCCAAAAAAAATGGACTTTAGTAGAGAAACAGCTCTAAAAAAAAAGAGGTGTCTTCACCCTGTCTATCCGAGGTGAGGAGAAGAAATGCGCCTATTTTCTACGCTTGGCCTTGGAATTGCTGCATGCGGTAGGTGGGTGGTGTAGCGTGCGTCTTCGGAGCCGCAAGATGCGCAGGTAAAGGGGAGGAGGGGGATCAGGATTCGAGGTGGGGGGAAGGGGGTTTGTTACAATGATTGGTTTGTTGCTAAGTACATACATAGTTGCATGTATCGATGTATGTGGTGGTGGTGGTGGTGGTGGTTTGCCCACACCCCCCCCTCACCCTTTGTATCTCTGTTTGCGCAACGTTGGCGTCATGGTGGTAGTGGTAGAGTGAAGGTGTGGTCATGATTGCTGGTGATGATGACAATAACGATGAGATTGTTTGCACGGGACAAAATTACACTAAATGAATCCAACATATTACCCGTTTGATAGTTTGATTTCGCGTCTGTGTGCATGCTTGTGCATGTGCCCCCATTAAATATGCCCCGGAGATCAGACGCGGCAGATGGAGCGTCCGAGCGAGCGACTGGGGGGGGGGGGGTACGCATGCAAAGGCAAGAAAAAAACGGGCTTGGGAATGAGGAGAAGCTACACGCCTAGTTTCCATGCCTACTCGAAGCGGAATACCAAGTACGCTTCCTATTTTCAACACCTGCTCTTTGCGGGAATTGCATGAAGCTTGGTAAAAGCTTCTTTTTTTGGGGGGGGGGGCTTTGCACACTTGTCATGGTGTTTGCATGTGCGTGTCGGTGCGCTCGTATGTGTCGAGTCGGTTTTGCCCGCCGGCTATGTCTTTGCTGACGGGGCCAAGCAACAACATGGCTACGTGCGTGTGTACACCTATGTATGTATGTATGTATGTACGTGTGTATGTATCCAGGCAAGTGTCGAGCGTAGATGCATGTGCGCTGTTGGGTCTTTAGTTTTGCTGGTTCCGCATTTGGCATTTTCTTTTGGCATAAGTATCTGACCGGCTTAATGCAGGGCTGGCGGACCATGGCAAAATATGCAAGATAAAGCGAAGGAATACGCCTACTTTTCATGGTTACCCTTCTGGGTAATTCAAGATGCATGCACCGCGTGTTTGTTTTTGGCCGTGCTGCTCCGACACGGAATTGACGGCGGCGAGTGAGACAGTGGCTGCAGCAGGACGGGTTTGGTGGTGCACGATGCAGAATGTCGTGGTTGGTGGCTTTGCACAGGAAACAGACTTCGCATCTTGTGCTGTGCTATGCAAGCCATTCTGCTGTTAATTGGCCGTGGCCATGTCTTCGGCTCTATTGTCGTGAAATAGTACCGCTGCTTAATGTCCCTTTGCATCTGTTTTCTGGCGCAACCGCATCATAGTGTCGAGACGAAAGAAAAAAAAAGCAACGTGAGTCCTCGCAGACGAATGGATCCCGATCGACACATGGTCCGCTAGCATGACTATGCGGAGAAGAGGCTCTGTACGCCTATTTTCCACACCTACCCGACACAGTAAAAGCAGACGTGAGCATCTGAGACGGTTTGCTTTTGCCTCGCTCACGCTAAGGACGACAAGCCATGCGCCTGTTTTCCACACCTACTCTTTCAGGTACACGACCAAGACCATGGTCGTCGCCGTCGGAGATTTTCCTCAGACGGACCCACGGCCTCCACAACGTGGACCGCTTCATTAACCGGTTCTGGCAGCCAAGGGAAGCCGAAAAAAGAAACAAAAAAGAAACAAGAGAGAAAAAAACCTGGGAAACAAGGAGAAACACGGCACACACCTCATCTACGTGCGGTTCGGGCTAAACCTTCCCATGTGGCCATGTCACCACGACACACGGGCAGCCAGACTTGATACGTGTCAGACAACATAAGCTTTTCTACCAAGCTCGACACCTATATTCAATGGGTTGCTGCAAGAGGAAACTTTCCAAGGCCAAGATGGACGCCTGGAATCAATGGTTACTTGATGCAGCAACAACAAGGCGTGCTCGAGCCGCTTTGCCCTGGCCATTGCGACAGTTGGCGTATCAATGCCACCTGTGGTTGGGCGGTTTCGTGCTGCCGAAGCGTCTTGGGACTACCGCACCGTCCGACTGGGTATGTCCGCCATGTGTCCGAGGGCAAAAACAGAGGGCGAGCATGCTACTTTTGGCTGTGCGGTGGAGAGACTTAATATAACCATTTGACGCCTGTTTTCCACGGTTGCTGTATACGGTAAGCATTGGCGTCGGCGAAAGCGTGTCAAGATCTGCGGTTCCCTGTGCAATTCGTGTGCAATGGGGGTTGCGGACGCCTTTTTTTTTCCCTTGGGATTTGCTGGGCGCCTTGAGGGGTAGGCAGGCGAGTCATGGTGGAGGTGGGTGGTGCTGGGCAACAAACTATAGCACGGCGTGACGCAGCCTGGGTTTCCAATTGATAGCGTCGCATTGCACCTTGCCAAGTCGGTCCAGGTCACGAGGGCAGCCCCAACACGGGAACAGGGCATCAATTCTTCTGGTGCTCCTACTATCACCTGCATGTGTGCGTATACTACTATTACTACATAGTACATACGGACAGACAAACCTCGCTCCATGCCTTGTCTGTCGCCTCTGCTACCCTCTCCCCCCACGCACGACTGACCCGTGCGGTATGGGCCCCCTTTCCCCGGAACCACATGTGCCCTGCACCAACTGCCGATGCTTACTTGCCGGGGTTGTACCATGCACCCCCTCGACCATTGTTATAGTACGTCGAGCCCTAATGCAGCATCAGCACATACGTCTACAGCCCTGCCATTATCACGACTCACGTTAGGGTTGCTGTAGTAGTACGAGCCGTTTGTGTTGGAGTAGTGGTAAGAGTTGGGATTGGAGGCGCTGGACCCGTAGTCACGAGTGCAGTAATGGTTTCCCTGGACGACATAGTCAGCACCACGTTGGCTGCGACCTGTTCAAGCACTTTGGATCCTTACTTGGCTGTTGGTGCCGGAGCTGGTTATAGTGTAATCTTGACCGCCACTGTTGCCAGAGGAGCCGGAGCTTGACGTGTTCTGCGACGACATGGTGGATTGTGTAGGCTGTATTTGCTGTGTCTGGTTGATCTGGCTCGGAAGAGACGGGAGAGGCGTGGAGAGGCACTGACAGAATATATACTAGCCTGGCACCTAGCAAACTATATTGCAATTTCCATCGTCATCTCACGCTTGGCCCGCTCGATCTTCGTGAGCTTCACCACATGGATTGCTACTGCTTATGCTGTGACCGAACAAGGATCGGACCAGACGGATTTCCGAGAAACCATTGCAAAGTATTTGGACTTCCAGTCTGCTGGCATGTGGCTGCTGGGCGATCAATGTCTCTATGTGTAGGTAACGGGAGGATCCATTGTCGTTTTCATAACCGATACAGCATCAGGTAACTGTGTGTTTGTGGAAAGACAAGAAAGCAAGATGGGCTATCGGGCCGCATTCATCCCCTTCCACACCTGAACCTCCAAGGCAACCCAATGCACAAAAGCTGCACCGTTTGTACAACCACATAGCATCGTTCCCGCCTCTCCATCATTCAACGGACAACCTCAGACCCATGACAGTCGATGGACAAACCGCCAGACAGGCCAGTAGGCACCGAACCACCACAGACTCCATTCCATACTTCTCCTAGTCCCCCACCCACCCCTTCACTAGCAAAGACCAGAAAATGGCATTATCCATACTGCTAACCCCCATCACACTCCTACGATCTCTCCTCAGCCCACCTCACCATCTGTCTTAAATTGAACGTCGACACGGTAGGCGCAGGCGGCATTGTATCCATCCAGATGAGCGTGGGGCCATCGACAACGACTACGCCTTGGTCTCGGAGGCGGGCCCACCGCGCTTTGCTGCGGGAAATCGCCACGCGTATGCAGCAGAGTATGAGTAGGATTTGGAAGACGAGGATGCTGGCGACGCAGATGACGGCCCAGATTAGCGGCCAATCGAGGCGGCGGCGGTTGTGGTCATGCTGGCTGATTGGGGTTGTGGTGGGGAGAGCAGGCATAGCTGGCGGCGGCGACGTGTGGGAGGATATGGAAAGAAGATGCGAATTTGGTGTGTTGGCGTGAGGAATTGGACAGCTTTGTGCGTGCGTGCGTGGCGTAGTACGTAGGTTTGAATGAAGGTGAATGAGAGAATGAAGACACTGGCTTGTCTTCTCCGAATGGGCGGTGCTTCCGCTTGTATACTTTGCGTTTGCCAAATCTTTCCGAGTTCCGAATCGACAATCCTGCTCGTGTGTGGCCTTGCACTCGGTCCTTACTACATGTACTTATGTTTTGTGTATCCGCCTCTATCTGAGCGCAATTGTTACATCTGCGCGGAGGCCTCCCTCTCTTTCCATAGACAGTGGGAAGTGGCCAACTGAGAGGAGAGTGTCATGTAAGATCTGAAGACAGAATTGTATGAAAGATACATATCAAGAAGAAGAAAGGCGAACGATTTGCAAATCTCTGATATCAGTTCTGCCTATCCGAATCACAACCTAATACCAAACATTAGCCACACCACCACAACATGTGTCCGGCCTCCAGACAACCCGCATCAATCCTTCCACTTCCCACTCCACCCGGTCCTCTTCTGTTCCTCTCCTCCATCGACATACCCAAAGTACTTCCTGGGCCAAATATTCAACCCAATCTTCTCTCCCTCGTCCACCGGCAACCCCGCATGCACCACCCTTCCATCCCCCTTGCCCTCTTCATCCAGATTAACCCAGAAAAGCGCATTCCCCCGTACCGGTTTAACCTTGACCCCCCCTTCCTCTCCCCCGACATCGCCCCTCTCCACCCTGCCCTCAAACAGCGCCTCCAAATCCACCTGCGCGGGGACATTGATCAGCGGGAAATACGTGTACCCGCCCGTGCAATTATCGCGTAGGAACACGAAGAAGGAGGCTACGCGGTTGAAAAACATGTCTCTTTTTCCTGCACCGCGGCCGACTTCTTCCTGGTCAACGGCAGTGACCTGGTGCTGGGCCCAGAAGTCCGTGTGGAGATTGAATTTTTGCCCTGCGACGTAGCGTACGAGTTGTGGTATGCTGAAGGGCTCCGACGGAAGCAGCATGGTGCCCATGAAGCGGCGGGCGCGGGATAGAATGCATGAGACAAGCGGGTGGGAGAGAGGCAGCGGTGCAGAGTCGGATGTGCGCCCGCTGACGCGGTGCGTGGTGCCACTTCCACGGCTGATGAAGGATTCGGTAAAGTCTGCGGAGCTGGCGGGAGATGTGTTAGCGGGATTTACGAAGGGTATTGGTGAGGGGATGGTAAAGGGCGTACCCGAGTGTGATTAGTTGTTCTGCTTCGAGGACGGAAGTAAAGTTGGTGATGTAAATCAACAGCGGGTCCAGAGATAGGATTTCTGTGCTGTATTGGTGGGTTTGGCATGCTTGTAGTAGGTCTTGAGGATCAGATGCGGGAGATGAAGTGGCTTTTGTTGTTGTAGAGTCGGGTTTCAACGTGGACAGCAACTGTGTTCGTAAGTGTGGAGGTAGATACGGGGTCAGCGTTGTGGAAAACCATTCGCGCAGCTGGATTATCGAAGAAATGGGTAGCACGAGGAGTATAGTGATAACTATGACACTTGTGGTTGGGAAGAGCAACTGTGGAGTTGTTAAGCTGATTGAGCCAACGTCTTTGGCAAAGCTTACGAGTCTGGAAAAGGTATTGTGTGACCTCCCGACGCTCGGAGACATCTCTCTCTTTGACCTGTCAAGTTTGGCCATTTTGACGTAGAGGGGTCACTCAAAATCTGAGGATTGTGATAGAAGAGTCGTAAGTGAGGTCAAAGAATGAGGCTTCATCTTGTGTTTGGCCTCACGTGGCAGTCGAAACCCCGCGTAATTTACATCGAGAATTATGGAAGACCCCGCTATGTGGAGCAGTATAGCCAGATGAATTATCCGACAGTCGGAATTGGGCAATGTGAGGTTGAAAGTCATGAGTTAATATCCGGTTGCAGTATCCTGGCGCGGGTATATGTGCTGTACTATGTATTCCATATGATCTACGCCACCTTATGTATGCATATCTTTGCTATTCGTCGAGAGACAGGATTGGCCACCTATGAGTTTGGGAATGGGTTGTATTAGAATTGCACAAGTGTGACCGCAGCTATTATGGTAGAATTGTCTACCTTCCCTGAGACTTTTCCATCGTGAATGTTATTATGCCATGAACCTGAACTCCACAGAAATCGACCAGATTACTTTCCTTTGCATCGCCAGGCTATCGTATGAAGACGCGATCCGAGACTATTAGCTAGACCATGACTCCAACGGATACGCGATGCAGATGTTGTTTGGCGAAGAAAAGCACTAGGAGTGTTAGTAAAAGAGAAGATAAACAAGATTGCGGCTTACTGTGATGTTGCTGAAGATCTTTAGACCTCAACGTCCTCGTATCCTTCGGCATCTTCATCGGGTTCGGCCTTGACAGGAGAAGAGCTGGGCTTGGTGTCCTCGTCTTCTTCTGGCTCAGTCTTGACAGCTATGTGGTATGAGCATCGTAAGCCGTTATGCAATGTCGGTAAAAGTACTGACCTTCGTCATCAGAAGACTTCTTTCCGCGAGCAGTCTTCTTCTTGGGAGAAGACTCGCCGTCGACGTCCTGCTTCTTGGAGGCGCGCTTGCGAGGAGTTGGCTTGGGACTGGCAGCGACGTCGCCCTCATCACCGGCAGTCTTGGGAGCAGCAGACTTCCTGCTACGGGGGGTCTTCTTGGGGGTAGCTGGAGGGTTGTCGTCGGAACCCGGGTTTATCAGCTTGACCTTGATCTTAGCCCATGCGTTGCTAGCAGAGCGCGGGTTGCTCATACTAGCGAACCCAGCAAGCTTCTCGTAGTCGATCTATTGTTTGTTACAGCAATGTGCAGAAGGGGTGTCATGCAATCACATACCTCTGGAGGGCCGGACTTGAGCGACTGCATGGCCCAGCCTAGAATCTGAAGCTCACGCTCAGTGAACTTGTTGGCGGTAGTAGTGGTCTTGTCTGTGTCGGACATGATGTTGATGTGCGTGGTGAGTTAAATGTGTGGAATGTGTTGAAGTGGATGTTGTGAGGGCAGTGTGGGCGATATATATATATGTGGCCTCACTAGCGCAGCGATAACGGGCAGACAATGCAGACGGTGAAGGTGAGTGAAATGTGATGTTCCAGAAGTGTTCGCCTTAACATTTATGAAGCGATGCCTCCAAGATGTCGCACGCCATTGGTCGGATGATGATAGGCGCGATCCCGTGGCGTAGTGAGGGCGCAGTCAAGGTGAGATGCAATCTTTTGCGTCCGTATCAGGCAGGACAGCATGGAAGTGAAGGGCAATCATCATAGCATGGGCACATGGCGGCAGCCCGTTGCGGTGCCGAAAAGGGGTGTAGCTTGAGTTGCTATGCTGTTACGCGGTTCTGACTGCGCGGTCATGTTGATCGCACGAGGTATCCATTTGCGAGCCTGTCCCAGAGTGTCCTGTCATCTGTAACGGCTATTCGGCGGGAGCCGGGAGTACAAGGCTGGTTGATTGATACCAAGCTTGAGCCAGACAGACGCGCTGCTGAACCGTCTTTTCGGCGCCAGTAAAGCTGAGGTGATGCAGCGACCCTGTCGATTATGTTCGCGTCGATGCTGCTGAGGGTCTGCCAGTTGGATGCGCTTCCTGTCCAGCAGAACTTCCCACCGTTAAATTTGCGCTGGTATGATCTGCTGTTTGTACCGATTATTTGTGCGGTATATTTGTTGCTGTCGACGTAGTCCATGCGGCATTGTTGTAGCACAGTATCTGGCTTGTTGAGCGCATCTGATACAGCCCGTCGTCGACTCATGTTCGGCTCACTTGCTGGGCTCGTACATGCTCACAAGCATTGGGTTCTGGAGGGTCAATGGAGTAGCTCTGTACATGTTGATGGGTGGACGAGGGGTGTAGATGGTGAGAAGCAAGAAGAGAAGAAAGGGCAGAAAGCCATGCTGGTCAGAGCCCCAACAACCAACCCATGGCGTGTCCCATCATGACGGAAATGCGAAGATGCATTTCCCTGGAACTCTTTTCGGGTCACGTCTCGTAGGTGACTGTCGCGGGGGGATTGACTTGTTCAGCCCGTCAGGGACTTCTAGATCTGACCACCTGCTATTCATGGCACATTGCCGGACGACCTGAGCTGATAGTTAATGTATTTCGAATAGACTAAATGTATGTCCATCAGCAGGATGCATTCCTCTACTCTTGCTAAACCAATGTTACCTCACTGGCGCCATACTTGGTATTCCCATACTCCACCCTTGTCCATAGGAGATATACGGACAATGACACAAATCGATCAGAATACCCCCCATAGAAAGTGACAGACATATACCCACAGAAAAGACAAACATACACGGACCTTGACAAGTCAATTCGTTGCTAACAGGATTAGCCCCCTCGTAGCACTCATGTGTTTGGCAAGAGTTCCGCTGCTGAAGTCACTGTTAATTCCATGCCATCTATATCATGTCGCGCCTCTGCGCCGCCTACCGCTGTGTGCTGCAATGTGCCTATCTGCCCATGCTGTTGATCATCTCCCTCTGCGTGGCGCGGTCCTTGTTGGCCTGACTGAGCGACTGGAGACTCCGCAGGTCTCCGACGACGTCCTTGGCCTTGCCAAAGTAGACCTCTTGTAGCAGGTTTCGCATCTTGAGCTCCATATCTTCGACCATCTTGCCAATGTTGGCAACGTGCGAGGTGTCGTCCTCGACGGCCATGTCAGCCTCGACCTGACGCACCATGTTGCCGGAGAGGTCAAGGCCACCCAGGGATTCGCTGTCGGTGCCGAGAGAGAGGATGACGGTCGAGGTGAGCTTGTAGTGCGAGGTTCGCGCGCGGTCTTGGGCGTCGAAGACGTGGATGCTGTCCCAGCTGCCAGAGCTCTTCGGGGTGGGGCTGACGGCTGCGCATGTTGTCAGCATATGCATGGCGTGGAGATGGGTTGGATGCAGACCTTTCTTCAGCAGCACGCAGCCTGCGAAGCCGTCATCCATGTCCCACAGGTAAACACTCGATATGCCGCCCTCAAAGTACCTGCCCGCGTCAGCCATCAGTGCCCCACCATGGCCGCCAGCGCCAGCACCAGCGCCCGCCGCACCAGCAACAAGACCAGAGACAGCATGCACTCACAGCTCCCGATACACGTCAAAAGCCTCGTTGGCCTTGACCTCCATCTTGCGCACACGATCACTAGGCGTGACGCCCTCGTCGATGGGCGGCTCGAACTCGTTGCTCCACGGACTCCTCCAGCTGTCGCCGTCGCGGTTGTAGTCGCAGCACAGAAAGTCGCGCTTCGTCTTTGAGCACTTCTTGACCGTCAGCGGGATGTCGACCGACTCGAGCAGGTCCTCCTCGAGCGAGGGGTTGAGCTGGATAATGTGGTCGACATTGCGCTTGACGTCCTTGGGGTCCAGGCGGCGGAGGAGGTCGCTGCAGCTGTCAGCTAGGCCGAGTCAGTAGTCGAGATGCACGCAAGCCTACAGGGCGCTGTCAATCGGATCCGCCATGTTCGCGTGCTTGGCCGGCAAGAGTTTGCGGGTGATTGAGGGCGGGTTGCTTGGGTGCTGTTTGGCTCCCACGCCAGCGCCCTCGAATGTCTCCCGCTCCGGCGATTCGGCCGCTTGGGGGGGCCTCTGCCAGCACGAGTCATGCGCATACATGCATGCGTCGCCCATTCTTACGGCCGTCTGCAACCTCGACTCTGCTCCGGATCTGCTCTTTTTGGATGATGGTATTCTTTGGCGGGTAGTTTGAGGGAAAGGCCTGTGTATTGGTTACGACTCTTTCGGCAGCGGCGACTCAGTCATTTCTTCATTCACTTCTTCGCGCCTTCACTGTTGGGAAGGCTGCGGGAACCAACCATATACGCAAAAGAGACGCCCCAGAAACTCTACTATCGACATTCAATCAATCAAAGTCGTCGATCCATATCCGTTTTCCTGGACACAGTTGGTCATGCCCCGTGCCGAGTGCCTGCTTCCCACTACAACACTCGGCGTGTACAGAGTGGACACGCGAAACATCATCTCGGAACACATCATTGAGGACGTGCGGCTATTCAAAGACATATTCTTTCAGGAAATACCCTAGCAAGCCATATGACAGAGAGGTGAAACAGTGCATCCATTTCCTAGGCCCCGATAGCCGCGCCTAACGGACCTACTTGCAACTTTAGCTGTATATCAGAATTAGTTATGCTAAGCTACCTAATTATACACTGAGCATCAGAACAGCCAGTAAAGCCAGGATGGACAGAATATTACTTTAACGTAAAAGCATAGCAACTAAAGCTGCACTTCTTTTGGCATCTTAGCGGGCTGTAGGCATGTTTGTACCCATCAATACATACCCCAAGCTTAACTCCGAGCTAGCTCCGTCAACGTTCCCTGCACCTCGAACGCGGCATATGTCGTTCCACTACTCTTACCAGAACGCGTACATCCATTCATCCCATCACGATAACTCCCTTGGCCTTCAATCTATTCGGCTTTTTGACACGTCAGGATGGTGAGCCTGACTATACCAGCCTCGGTCGCGAAACGAAAGCAGGCATGTACGAGTTGTCGGCAGCGGAAGAAGAAATGCGACGTAGGTTTATTGGCATACAAGTTCAATACCTCTTGGTTGTAACATCGAAAATAGGCTGACCGTCCAAGCTGCGCATTGTGCAAGAAGCTGGGCATTAAATGCCAGTACCCGATGCCAGCTTCACACCAGGACTGCAGTTTGCCTGCTGAAACTAACTCAGATCATGCCCTCAATTTAGGTATAGTTGCTGTGCCGCGAAATCTCGACATGGCTCAAATTGATCCACCAGCAGGCATGCAGGCCCCAGCCATGAATTTGGACCTCACGAACTCCACTCCTTTGGCAAATGGAGATCCTTTACCGAGCTATCCCACGCCTGGATCCTCCAACATGCAGGCCAATGAGATGATTGATCTACGCTCACTAGAGAGCCTCCAGCTACCTTCCCGAAATATCACAATCGAGCTTACCAACCTCTTCTTTGACCATGTCTACCCTATGCTACCCTGCTTTCACAAGAAGAGCTTCTTGTCCTTCGTGGAAAGCGGTAAGCTAAAAGACGAGGCGCCAATGTTGCTGTACGCAATATGCTGTATATCAGCTGGATATCACCCTGATGACACAATGAAGAAGCGTTCGAAAGATTGGTATGAGCAAGCAAAGTTTTCCTATGAGCTCACTCGCCAAAGACCCAGTCCCGCTCTACGAACGATTCAAGCTGTGTTGCTTCTCACCTTCCACGCTTGGACGGTGGGAGACTTTTCTTCCAGCTGGATGTTTCTAGGCAAAGCATGGAGGCAGGTGGTTGCGCTTGGTCTAAACTGTACGGATACTGTACGCGCTCCAGCTCAAGGTGCGGCTGCTTCAAACACAGACACTGGTGGGGAGGAGACCCATCAAATTAACAAAGAGGAAGAAAAGACTTCAGTTGAGAGAGAAGAGCATTGTCGGGCTTTGTGGTTACTTTTAATTATGGATCGATCGCATTCATGGCCAACGGGCTGGCCGGTCGCTATACCCGAGACGCAATTTAAAGTCGACCTACCGAAGCCTGAATCAGTCTTCCAAGCCATGGATCCAGAATCATATACAACTGGCTATGCCAACACGCCCTTTACGAGGAACCTGTCGGACCTAATAAACTCATCGTCAGCAAAAAACCCACTGAACATCTTGTACTACATAACGGTTGCACATGTTCTGCTTGGGCGAGTCACAGAACTAGTACAGTCCCTACATACTTCACCGGAATCTTCAGAATATGCAGAAGATTGCGCCAAGCTGGATACTTTTATCGTAAAGTTCCGACTATGGCTGCCCCGTCAAGCAAACTCCGTCCTAGCAGCTCCACCGGCAGATCGCGAGCATGTAGTGTGGCTGCAAGTTACTTTGAATGCCATGGCGATAATACTACACTATCGCGTCCAAGGGCCTGAGTCGAGTTCAGGCCCATCGTCGCCATTCAATCTTGCTGTAATCGCGGCTCGCAACATTGCACAGATCATCAAAGATGCGTCGCGTGTTTCGGTTGACCTTTTGCTTTCCGCACATATCGGATCATCCCTGTACATTGCCGCATGTGTTCTTGTAATACAGTGGCGTCTGACTGAGGACGAGAGTTTAAAAGATGAAATCGATCTCTTCGCGCTGGTCTTCGAGCGAATGGACGAAGTCTTCAGCTTCCTTGGCCTAAAATTCAAATCAGCGCTGCAACAAGACATGAAAAAGAGTCGGGAAGAATTACTCAGTCTGCAGCAGCGGGGTTGCAGAGGCCTTTTGGCAGATTGCAAGAGGTGGGATCACGCTAAGAAGGAAGTTGAGCGCAGAGGACTTGAAGTTGATTTTTCCTAATGGATGGTTTATCTTCATCTTCACCCCAGATCTTATCAGGAAGATACCCTGCAAGATCATGGATGGATAGGTACATGTCAACCACCTATTCCGTTCCCATAAGCAAGTGCCCACCATCACTACACACCATAGTCCCTGTCACAAACCTATCCTTCATCACCCATCCATACGCCTCAGCAATATCCTCTGGCCGACCAAACTCTCCACTCAGACTAGCCGTTTTCTTCATCTTCTCAACTGCCTCGGTGCTAGAACCTGCCAGGAAGCCCTCCAACAACTCCGTCTCAATAGCACCAGGAATGACAGCATTGGCGCGAATCGGCGCAAGGTCCACGGCAAGACCGCGCACGAGGCCTTCGATCGATGCACCTATCGCCGCAACCAACGCCCAGTTCGTCATGGGTCGATGCGTATTCGAGCCTCCGGTCAGAGTAATGGAGCTGGAAGCGGAACGAGGCATGTACTCTCCATTCGCAACCACCTTTGCCACCATACACGCAGCCACAAGACGCACGCTGAACCCATCCGCCAACGTAGCGAGATCAAAATCACCTATCTTGACGATTGGAAGCGCATTTCCCGCCGTAAAAGCGATATGGTCGATCTTCTTCGCCCCCTTGTGCGTCGCCTGGTCGAGCAGCGCCGTCAAATTGGCCTCGAGATGCTCTTTGTCACAGAGATCAACGGCGAAGCCCGCTACATCTTCCGGGGCGATGCTGGGATACAGCGAGCGCAGTTTGTCCACCTTGGAATTCACTTTGGCCTGTGTGGATCCAGAGATAGTGACGCGTGCCCCGTACGAAAGGCACATGTTTGCTATGGCGAAGCCGATGCCAGACGTCCCGCCAAAGACGAGGACGTGAGTGTTTGCGAGGCGGTTTTGGTGGGCCATGATGGAAATGGATATATGTAGATTGATAATTCAAGGTAAAGTAGAGGAATTGGCAAATTTGTAATTGGGTCTGTCTAAATACACAGGGACATGATTGCTATTTTATATATATTTTTTGGATTTGAAATTGGTTGGCGGTTTGTCGGAGACTTGATGTATCTCCTTATTTCCGACCCCGCCATTTGGCGGCGACTGGCGGCCGGCGGCGGCGGCGAGCGGCGGTGGGAGGCCGCGTGTCATTGCAACTGTTGGTCATGCATGTGCCTTTGAAGAGTCATGGTGTAGCTATTGGCGGACCAAAGCGGCCGGATGAAATTCACCTACTCTCATAAACCAGCTGCTTCTAATCAGGTTCCGATAAAAAATACTGTACATTTCTGTTAATCGATTTCATGCAAAGGTGATTCATTGAAGCTTCCATTGCACATTCAAAGCAGTCACAGGGACTTCTCTTACACGAAGAAATGGTCGCCAATCTACCTCGATATATTGGTGACAGTGACACACTGACGTGGTGCTGAAGCGGTGATGAGGCGCCGGATATAGGGATCTGATGTCCAACTTCATAGCGGATGTAAATCCTCCTCTCGTAGCATCATGTCGAATAATCTCATACGGGTACATGCAGCTCTGGATAAGGTTTCTGTGCCGCCGTCCGTTCCCATGCTTCGGACATGCCTCCGCGACGAACTATCAACATTGCTAACGCGCCTCACGCAATCAGCTTAGAAGTAATTGGAGTACACAGAGCTTTTTGATACCTTCCATTGCTTTCACTACCTGATCGTTAGTTTCTATAGCAAAATTCATACATTTCTAGATATATTATGTATTGGGTATTTTATCTATAGCATTAGGAGTTGTGAGAACAACATGCCTCTAGATTGGCCAGCGATAAATTTCAGTAAAGGGAAAAGAATATCTCTGACAAAAGCTACATAGAATCCAAGCCTGAGCCCCAGAATTCGAATAGGACATTTCAATAATAAACATTGACTAGCTGGCTGTGCGCATCATGTGAGTAAACAGAGGGGCGGTTGCTCGAACAAATTTAATTGAAGCACAGAATCGAGGGACATGGTCACAGCAGATTGCATGAGGCGACATGTTTCGAGATTAAAGTTTGTTTTCCATTCCTAACCTTATACTCTGCATCATCCCAGTCGGCCGAGCTTAAACTCTTTTGCGTAAAGAGAACTCCATACAACGACTTTCCTAAATACCATGTCGTATTTAAGACTGGACATATATAAGCCTCTGGTATAAATGGATCCTCGAAATAGAGGCAATGGGACTTCTTACTCGCTGGTGCTTTCGAGCAGATTAGCTTCCGTTACTAAACAGCGTATGGACACACTCTAGGATAGAAGAAGACTTACTGGCTGGCGCAAAGACAATTAGTTACTGTGTCTGTATATTGTTACGCTCTTCGCAAGCAGAGACATAGAAGCTTACAATCTTTACCATGCATTGTTAGAGAATGTCTGCATATTATCATACAACTTTATAAGGAGAGGCTATGAACTTACTGGCTAAGGTAAAAATAATCAGCTCATACGTCTGTATATACTAGCAGGCTCTTGTATAGAGAGGCTATAAACTTACCCTCTATACCATCGATTATTAGTGTAACGATGTTACAACTTCGCCAAGTATTGAGCCAATCCCAGAGCCGGATCGGAGGAAGTACCTGCCGCCCTTCATCAGCCATTCGCCCGAGGTCGGATCCGAATTCGGACCCGACTAGGATAGGTATATATTGAGACACTCCCTGTAGCTAGCTCTGTAGACTTTTGATATCCTTTCGTACAAGGCCTATAGGTGGCTTGTTGAATCTAGGCTCTTTGTGATCCCACGCACTCCCATATGCCTCTGAGTGATCCTACGACCGAAACAGATCCGACCTGCCTTACCTGCGCCGTTACAATTAGCGCATATCCTGATATCATAGTACAATATTTTGCAGAGAGGTTGTCTACTTACTGACTGTACAATAGCCTGTTAGCCTATCTGTACATGATATTATCACGCTCTTGCGTAGAATCCAGGATGTTAACTTACTCCCTATACCGTATATGATTAGCTAATATCTACATGTAGCAGTAGGCTCTAATATCGAGCAATTGATGTACTTACTTCCTAGAT